TTTAAATTATGCAAGGAACCCGTTAACTTTCTAGATTTTACTGTCGGACATTATTGAGTGACTGAATGACTTTTCTTTGGAAATAACATACGTAAAATAAGCTGTAAAGGTACATGAGCATTTGCCTACGTCAATAACCCACTTCTTTAATGGCCCAAATTAAACTGATTGAATCTCTGCGCAGCACAAACATACGACCATTCGGTTCAAGGGTCTGAAAATCAGACTTTAACTGAAATGATTGCAATCACTAAAGTCACGCAAAACAGTTATTACATCTTTAAGCACAATACAATAATAATCATTATAGATATGCATTTTTATTTAGACCCTGTCATCCAGTATCAATACAAAAAATGCATCCTCTGATAGTCACTATTACTCAACTGATAAATTTACTTCTATTCTTAAAATTACAGGTGATAACATTAGTTTATTGAACATAATTGCTAACAAATTTTAACTATTTGTTTAATTCTCTGGAAACGTTGCTACATAGGCCTACTCTAAATAATATTCCCTTTCCTACTAATGTTCATTGAAACTTGGTGACACAACACTTCGCCAAACTTATTTAACTTGCAAAATGATCAGACTCGATCGTAAAGGAAAGAGGAGAGATGATGTCAATGAACACCTACAATCTAAAACCCGAGAAGAAATCTCAAAAGAAAGTGAATAAATGTTTTTAGAAATCATAAATTCAAACAGCAAAATATAATCGTTGGAATAATGTAAAGACCCCCTCATGTCGTCATATGGATTTTTGTGAAAAAATTGAAAAATGCCTTAATACTCTTTCGGGAGAAGGTAGGCAATATATATTGACCCGTTGTCTGCATGATAATAGCTTTATTTTTTATTTATTTATTTATTCCGTTTTATTTAAACAGGGTAGCCCCGTCGGTAATCACAGTACTGTTTTAATTACTCCAACAAATCCTAATGATATAACCTAAACTACAAACAAAACTTTTAATAATGAAGAAAATCACAGGGCACGAGGATTTTTTTTCAGAATCTGAGACAAAGTGACCGGATCTCTTTAACACATTGTTCATTGTTTCTCCTCTAATTTACTTTCTTAATATATATACATATACACCGGGATTACTCTCCTGAGCTCCTAAAAATTGGAAAGGTCCAGTATATAAAATCCAGTATTTAACAAAAAAGATAATCGTCACAAAAAAAGTAATGACACTCAGGCCTAAAACCATTCTTCCAACCATACCACAAATCCCAGCAAACATTATTTACACATTCTTAAAGAACGTATACAAGTTTTTAGGTATATTTCAATTGCTAATTTTAAATCATGATTACGGTTTCAGAAGAAAATAAAAATTTAATCGACCTAGCTTCAGTCAATTACATTATGGAATAACAAATGCTATGGCATCAAACCTATCTATAGATAAAGGTCAGCCATATTATCTTTCTCTAATAATGACCGCTATAGACATTCAGGTGGCCTTTTAATATAGAGGTGAATTGTGACCATTAAGACAGATTTTGACTGTATATGAAATCGGTCTATTTCTTTGTAATGAAAGTGCTTGAATATCCCATTTTCATTGTCCACGCTAGGTTCTCATAGTCCTTTACGCCGGAAAAAGACCCTAAAGAAATAACAAAATCGAGGGCTAAATATCCGGCGATTAAACTTGAAGATATCAGTCAAGTGTCTCATATGACAATAAGGACTTTTAGATTTGCGTGGACTGATACGTGTGACGTCCATTCAAGGCAGTGCATTAAGAGGACGTCGATCTTAGCAATCCACGTTGTCGTTGTGCAAATCTAAAAGTCCCTAATAGTGGCCTTTGCGTGACCGTATTTATGGCAAGACTTTAAACTTTACTTCGACTTTATGGCATTCCAAATTAAGCGCTTGGTAATATATATATATATATCGCCTGATGTCTCTTTGGACAGTTGTAATTCAGGGCAGGGCTCCGGTTATCACTCGATGCTGGGATATTTCACTGAGGCACAAATCAGAGGAAGAAATATATTCAATTCAATTCAATTTTATTTCGCAATATATCGATCGTGATTTGATAAAACTATGTGACAGGATATGTATTCACGAAAAAAATGTGATTATTATTTTGCCTTTGTCGTCGCCGTACTGGTCATGGTTATACATTCTGCTACAGAGGCTGAAAGTTTAGGTGAGAACTTATTTCCTCATTACTTTGTCTATCCCTCGATAACTTGTTGCTGTTTCTTCTTTGCACGCTTGGTATGTGCTGATGTTTTGTTCTTCTTCTTCTTCTTCTTCTTCTTCTTCTTCTTCTACTACTACTACTACTACTATTTCATCTTCTTTCTCTTTCTCTTCTACATTTTCACTGCTTTTTGTGACTGCTTGGCACATTCTTTTGTACGTATTCAGGGATTACGAAGGACGTGCAGAAATTTAGTAAAATTGTTCCCTCGTCGATGTTCAAAGAGAAGAGTACAAAACAAAGAATGAGACGCATTTTCCCTTTCCTGTTTGTGTTTTTGTATAACGCAACGCATTTTTGGTTACAACGTAAACCGATGATGAAGCAAGTGGAATCGCTTCACAAAATCTTCGTAATTAAAGTACATCGACATCCCGTTGAAACGCTTAACTTTGATAAACGTGAAAACTTGCCATAGAACTTTCCCTTTTTTGTTTATGATAATGGATTCGACAAAGTTTAAGATGATCCTTGTTGATTCTTGGTGTATTTTGTATGTTTGATTGAAGGATTTTTTATTGATAATTATCCATTCTCGCAGTCCAAAGACTGAATTGCAATGGTTACAAAAGTTTACAATGTATATACATGATAAAAGCAATTATACAATAATATATTAAAACAGTCTAGGCAATCAACATTGAAATACAAATAAAAGTGATCAAATGACAATTATAATGGCAACTATCATTAATTTCAAATAATAAGCATAATAAGTATGTTAAAGGGATTGTAGCTTGGCTAATACTGGTTAACGCCATCTACGTCTTCTTTTGGATAACTGCACGTAAACTAATGGACTTGATTAACGGTAGTCAGCGACTTAATCTCTACATGGTCAGCGTTCGCGAAACAGACTGAAGTTCTCCTCACGCTTCGGTTTCGCGTATATTGCACGGCACGTGATTGCTGCGGTCGCGTCGTCCGTATACCCGATTGGCCCCGAGTCAACCCACGGGAAATTGACAGGCAGTCTCGTCAGGCTACACTCCCTTTAATGACAGAAGGTTGTTCTAGTTCATAGGGGCGTTCATACCTACAGAAAAAAGTGAGATTTAAAAAAAAAAAAAAGAAGAAAATTTGCATCGCGATCCAAAATCTTTTTTTTTTGCGTGTGTGGACAAAATAATTTTACTATTCTTTGCGAATCGCAATGCGATCCAATTCGCAGCAAGTCATGTGATTTTTCAGAAATATCGCGACAGTTTGCCGGGCGCTGTATGCGTGAATGGTATTGAGAATCAAAAGTCGGTTTATTTAATCCCAGGATTCCAAACGCGCGTACATCGTCGAGATCCACGCATGTGCAGTTCGGACGTTTTTGCCGTCGCGCGAGAATTCTCACTGTGTGTGAATGGTCGCCAGTAAAGGCCCGGTCACACAGCCCTCCACGCGCGTATCGCGGCCGAATCACGGCCAAAAATTTCTGCCCGTGAAGCAGACGCTGTTGGACGCTTTGAGGTCGCGATAAAGACGCGATACAGCCGTACTTTACCCGTCGTTACACGCGGTAAGAAATTCACACGCGGTTGGCCGCGCGAAAAAGTTTTGGGCTGCCCAAAAATTTAGACCGCGGGTAATCGCGGGCGGTACACGTGGTACACACGCGGTAAAGACGCGGTACAGACGCGGAACGAACGTGCTAGGACGTGCTACGGCCGCGGTTAAGACGTGGTTACACGCGGAATTGGACGCGAAATTTTAGCGGGTAATCGCGGGTGGAGCACGGTCATAGCACGTTTGTTCCGCGTCTGTACTGCGTTGTTATCACGTGCATTAGCGTGTGTACCGCGTGTAAGCGTGGTAGGCCGCGGCACCGCCGCGCTCTACCCGCGATAAGGACGCGGAACAGTCGCCGGCGTCTGTTCCGCGGGCATACCACGGGTAAACCGCGGGTAAGCCAATTTTGTACATTTTCCACCACGGGCAACCGCGGGCAAAAAAAAAATCGCGAAATTTTACCCGCGATACAGACGCGAAAGGCTGTGTGACCGGGCCTTTAAAATCAATCTTTGCATCGCGATTCAATTTGCACTAATTTGCCATAAGAGTAAATGGTCGCCCCCCCCCCAAAAAAAAAAAAAAAAAAAAAAAATCGATCCTTGCATCGCGATTCAAATCGCACTAATTGTTACATGTATGTGTGAACGGATTTATGATGTTCTTTAACACAAACCATGTTCTCACCTATGACATTTTCCAAGAAAAAACTAACTCATAATAGAGACAATCTAACAAAGGATTGTTTAATGAACTAGTTTTTAGTAGTAATTATGATACAAAAATAACGAAACCCGTACATATTTCATTTACTTTAGCAACCAATGCGACCCTACCGTCAAACGTGTAATTATTTTTTTAGACCGTTAGTTTAGTTAAGACCGTAATTGTACATTACTTTAATTGTACTATTCATTTCCCTTGTTCGATTTATTTCATTTCACATAAACACGAAGATAGTTCTTATATAATACATAGCAATGTTAGAATCTAGCAAAATAATCATTGGCTAACATTTAATTATAGTTCTGCAGCCTTAATAATTGACATCAGATTTATAACTGTTGAATTTGATAATATAGTACAATTATACAAGCTTTATCATTTCTAAAAGTGTTATCTTACATCACCGTATGTACCGTTTAGTTTATCGATTAATATTATGCTTTTGAAACTATCAATTTTTAGAAGATTTTCGTTTCTCCTATAACTATGTAAAATTTGCGTAAATACAAACAACTTTATCGAATTTCTTGATCGAGATTATTACTTATTGCAAAGAATATCATGTAGAAATAGATCTTTTCAAAGGAACTTTATATAGCGTCCTCTACGCTGGCTCCGTTATTTGTTACACCAGTTTGAACTCCTTGGCCTTCAGGTTGACTTATTGCTTGCTCCTTTTGCCTTCTCTTTTCTTCCTTTTCATCCTTTCTTTCTTGCCTCTTATCTCTGTCGACATAACCTATCGCTGAACCAAAGAGGTTGACGACGAACCCCTCATCGGTTGTAATCCCTAGACCCATTAGCTCGACATTGGGTTTTTCTTCACAGCCACCTTGTATGGATTCCCAAAGTGCACTGCACGGGGCTACGGTCTCGAAGCCGAGACCCAGTGTGCACAGGCACCTCCCGCAGATACAGGAAGCACCGCACAGCGTCAAATCGCAACCAACTTCACTCTCTTCACCCATAACGATATTGCAGCCAGCTTTTGGGCCGGCAAGTATCAACTCGGTGAACCCGCTGCAAATCATTTTCGAGGCCTCTCCACACTCGACCTCAGCCGAGATGCATGCATCTTCATCTCCTAGCTTGACCCCGACCGATGGACCTTCCAGGTCGTATTTTTCAGATGATGATTGCGGCTGCGTCTGAATCACTTGCGGATTTTCCTGGTTGTAGCCTGGCGAGTCGGTTTGCGGTTGCGTCTGAATCGCTTGCGGATATCCCTGGTTGTTATTCCCTGAGTATCCCTGAGGTGGGTACGGTCCTGCAGGAGACCCCTGGTTGAAGTCTGGTGGCATCATCCCCTGTGGCTGATCAGCTATGGCTTGACCTTGGTTCGGGTACGGTCCGACCGGAGGCGCATGCTCCGGTGGCCCGACTTGGAGCTGCGCCGGGCCCGGTTGCTGCCCCGGGTCCGGTTGCTGCTCCGGCCGCGGTTGCTGTAATGCAGCTTCGTCAGGACATTTCTGCAAAATGAAAAGATCAAAGGCCATTAAAATCTATATAAGTAATACGCTAAGGCTCCGCGGGGGGCGCGACGTCTCCGCCAGCCTTTGTATTCTATTGTTTTTTAATGAGATCGCCGACCGAAGTTGGTGGAGCTATCTCCTCCTGAACCCTCCCCTCGGGGTACCCGTGCCCGGTGCCATCGTCCGCGGGAGAGTCTACTCTGTGGAATTGGCTACACTCCGCCCGAGGTCCTCCTCCGTGTCGACGTCCAGGGCGAAAACAGACGCGACATGCATAATGCAGGATATGCGTGACGACAGAGATACCTCATGGATATTCAACATTTCATCCGTAGACACACGACCGATGACCATCCACTCACATTAAGTTGCGTATTAAATGCACGATGCACAGGGTCGGGCTAACCCGAGTAAAGCATCTTTCTATAGGATATCCTTTGTAGTAGCTGCACAAGCCACAGAGATACACACGAAGCTTCCCGTCCACGTCCAAACTTAGAGACCTATTTCCATCATTATTGCCGCGATTTTTATATAGTTTTCGTGAATGGAGGTATGAAATCAAAGCTTATTTTGTGATTATTACGGCCATGGATACTAAATTTTGATTATCATTTTCTAAAGGAAAGTTTTGACAAGAAAACCATTGGACTGACAGTTCAGTCGCAAGCTGCCTTCAGTCGACACACATACATTACACACAGTGCACTGTAACTCCGGGAAGCTCCAACACCGGCGCCACACGCCTGCGGCTCCGGTGGAGCTTCCCGGAGTTAAGTGCAGTGCTGCTGCTGTCGCGCGGCATGGACTTTGACTGAGTGTAGAGTCGAAAAGTATGGGTGGCCAAGCAGGCCAATATTCGTACAACTATACAACTACACATACGTCTATCCATCCATCGAAGAACCCGTCAACACAACAGCGTGCGGGCCGAAGTGCCATAATTTTGTCCACCTATACAGCTACAAAACTATACGACTCTACGCCTGCTTAGCCATCGGAGACTATTATTGTCTTATATCTACAGTATATTACAAGAAAGCATTAATTTTAAATAAGGTTATGAATTGTACTCAACCAGACAGAAGTATGTGACTTCATGCATTGCAAAACAGTTACGTAATGAGTAAAATCTTTTTTTTTTTGGGGGGTGCAGAAAGAAATCTGCATCACCATGCACCATTCTTGCAAGGCTCCAAGAAACGTTTTTCAAAGTGGGGGGGGGGGGGGGGGGGGAGAGAGATCAGATCGCAGCGAGTTGAGTGTATATATAATATAGGCGTGGGGTCCACGGGTTTCAAGGGGCCATAACCCCCCGAAAGCTCAGGGGTTTTAGGCATTCAATTAGGGTCAGATGAGCATACTTTTAAATTTGTGACACTGGCAGGTCACTAATTGGCGTGTGGTCAATACGTAGTGTTGCGTACCAACTTCGCTTGCCTACGTTACTTAAGCTGAGGGACGGAAAGTGGTACGCAAGATGAACAAAAACAATTCAAAATGTTTAATTCTTTTCGCATACTTTCGGCGTAGAAACTTGACGCAGAAAGTACGCCTTTTTACGCAACACTACGCTACATGCCTACCCAACAGTACGCTACCCTACGCCAGATCGACAAAGCAGTAAAAGCTTTCCACACAGTAAGCAACCATAAGCAAACCTGTACGCCAGCCTACGCATAACCTACCCAGGGACTATTTTCCCATTAATACGCAGCCTAATTTCTTCGTAGTCGGTACGCCACACTATGGAACTCTACGCAGTTCCAGTTGCTTATAGAATAACTATCGGTACAGTTGGATCGTTTTTTTAATTTTTATATAAGGCCAAATAAAAAAAAAACATGTTTAGCGTCCTGTTTTTTTGAAAAATAGGAAGGAGGCCCTTTTTTTTCTTCCTTTTTTTTCTTTCAAAATGGCCGCTCAAAATGGCCGCTCCGTACATTTTCCCTGACATTCAGGCTATTTTTCAAGATGGCGGCCGACAATCTTTTTTTTTAAAATCAGAAATACATCCATTTTAGCAGTGTTTTTCATATTTTTTTTCTTTCAAAAAAAATTTCAAAAAAAAAAAAAATAGGAGGCGGCCCCCAAAAAGGAAGCGGGCGGGGACACTAAACATGTATATTTTTTATGGCCTGAATGGCAAATAAAGTTCTTGGTGGTTTTTAATTTAGACAGTCTCTATATATCTATTTACACCCCCGCCCCCCTTTAGAATCCCGCGGATTTCCGCGGGTCCTGCTAGTCAATTATACTTTTCTAAGTACGTATTCTCATAACTCAACCCCTTCTTACAAAAATGAATACAAGTCTCCTCAAATCGTATCGTTCATATCAGGAGCCAATGCGGGTGCACGAAATTATTCAAATCTCAAATGAACAGAGTGATGAGGTTCTTTTTCTTATACAAATTACAATAATTCCCAAAATGATAAATATTGCCACATGGGAAATCGAAATTATCTGGCTGGAGAGATGTACCCGAACCATTTTGTTTTGGCGAAGCTCTCAAAGTGAAATAAAGGATCGTGTAGTAGATTTTGATCTAAAAATACAAAGAAATCAACTCTCTGATTGAATATGAGAAAACGATTGCCCAAAATCAATGCTGCCTCATTTACCCCCACTCTCCCCAAATTCGATAACCCTAAACCCTTCAAAAATGGTATTATGGGCCATCGCAGGGGGTTGTTTCACAAAGATCCTAAGTTGAACTTATCTCTAAGTTGGAAGTAACAATTATGGAAAGCCGTTAACATCTTTGAAAATGTTTTGTAAAAGTTATTTTAAAAGGCATAAAATGTTGATTCAAATCATTCACATTTTCTATTATCATGAGAGATGTCATGTTCTTGATTTAGAATTCATGAAAAGTCTAAAATACTTGAATTTTTGCTTTTGAATATATTTTTTTTAAGGGTACAAATGGCTCTCCATAATTTTTAAGACCAACTTAGAATCTTTGTGAAGCACCCCCATATCTCCCTATTGGTCTCATGGGCTTTCAGTCTCGTCGTCTATCGGTCTCGGTCGAATGGGGGAACCCTCTGAGGAGTTGTCAGCAGGTTCGCGAGACCGAAATTGTCGGTCTCTTGGGCTGTAGCCATTGTAATAATTACCTGGTGATGATCTTGTTTTCCGATCGTATTCCCATTGTCTTGCTCTGAAGTCATGTTGATCTCTTGTCTGTCAGTGATGATTCAAGCTGCTGTAAAAAAAAATAAAAAATTAGAAGACACTGTATTTTTTCTTCTTCAACAACCATGTAAGTCGGGCAATCCATATTGTTTGTCCTATCTTTATTCTGACGATTAAAATACAAGTGCTCGTAACAAGTGGGTGAAATGATGCGTAAGGAGGCACTTCATAAGGACGTAGCCTAAGCGTTCAATTTGATTATATGATTATTACAAAAATGGCCTGTTGATTAATAATTAAGGGGAAAAATACGCAATATATCAAATTCAACACAAATACAGCTTTTCTTTATCATAGACCCATTTTTAGCAACATGCATACAGAATTATTGCTAGAAAACATTAATGCGACATAAAATATCGAATACCTAAAGTGACTCGGTAACATTGTCTCAGATTCTGAAATGAAATCCTGGATTTATCATGATGCAATGATAATTATAACCTTTATGTTAGTCAGGAACCCCATGACTTTTACAAGCCGATCTCTTGTCTGATTATCAAGATATTTATGATTGGAAATCAATATCAAATTTTGCGTTTTCCCAACGGTTTTTATAACACTACAATCTGTTGGGGGAAAATGAGTATGGTAAAACCGAAGTTAAGACCTGGTCACTTAAAGATTTTTTTAATTTTTTGAGGCACTTTGTGATCATTTTGAAGCGCAATTTTTTTAGGGCTTCAATATTACACCATTTGACAGACTGATAACACGTAGGGCAATGCATCTCAGATTTACACTTAAAATAGTGATATGAATATATAGCATTATTACTGTTAATTCAATCTTTCATCTAATCTAGTATTTGATTCGTAATACCTTTATACAATTATTTTTATGCAGAAAGTGATTTTTTAGTTTGAATCTGAAATTGAAAATAAATTTGAAAATTTTGGACGAAAAGTTAATCAAAAACTGATTGAACTAAGCTATAACGGGATAACGAGTAAAAAAAAAAAGGGTAAAGATTAAAAAAAAAATTATGATAACTGATATTACCTGATGTCAACACAAGCAGTTTTCGTTACAATTTCCAACAAAATGAGCTGCAAGAAGCCTAAATGGTCAATTGTGTCAGATTAAGATGGTTAGTTTGTTTCAGGGTATGGTCAGCTTTCTGCCTTCGTCTACAAGCTGATCTGACTCTGATTTGGCCCAGGCAGGTTAGAAACTGAGTCACGTCTTTCGGAAGATGACCTTCTTGTTGCTCTGTTCCCAAACCGTAAATGATAATATGTGTTTGATAACGCGTCTGTAAAACCCCAACCACCCTAAACACACACCCTCCCACCCACTCTCTCTCTCTTTCTCTCTCTCTCTCTTTCCCTATATCTCACTCTCTCTCTCTCTCTATCTCTCTCTTTCCCTATCTCTCTCTCTCTCTCCCCCCCTCTCTCTCTCTCTCTTTCCCTATATATATCTCTCTCTCTCTCTTTCCCTATATCTCTCTCTCTCTCTCTTTCCCTATCTCTCTCTTTCCCTATCTCTCTCTCTCTCTCTCTCTCTCTTTCCCTATATATATCTCTCTCTCTTTCCCTATATATCTCTCTCTCTTTCCCTATCTCTCTCTCTCTCTCTCTTTCCCTATATCTCTCTCTCTCTCTCTCTCTTTCCCTATCTCTCTCTCTCTCTCTCTCTTTCCCTATATATATATATATATCTCTCTCTCTCTTTCCCTATCTCTCTCTTTCCCTATCTCTCTCTCTCTCTCTCTCTCTTCCCTCTCTCTCTCTCTCTCTTTCCCTATCTCTCTCTCTCTCTCTCTCTCTCTCTTTCCCTATCTCTCTCTTTCCCTATCTCTCTCTCTCTCTCTCTCTCCCCCTCTCTCTCTCTATCTCTATCTCACACATACACATACACACACACACACACGCTCCTCAACGTGAGAAGTAAATGAATCGAAAACCTTTAAAAACACTTTTAAAGAAAGAACAATGATAAAAGTGATCCGATTTTAGAACTATTTTTTTTGAAATTATTGAATTTTAGCAAATACCTGTAAGTACAAGAAAATTTGAAAGGTTTTCCCTTTTTTCCCTTCCTCATTCACAGCATTCTTTTCATGCATTTTCATTTAAGAATTCCGTCACGCAAGTCCGAAAATAATTCATTAGACCCGGCGGCCAAATATTTGTTGAAAGGCTCTATAGAAAAAAAAACGTATTGCATTTTTCCCGAGTTTTGCCTGGTTATGATCAAGCAAAACTCGGGAAGGATGCACAGAGGGATTATCATGAGAAAAAATGTTTACATGATCAGATTTATGATTTATTCATTCTATTTCTAATGTTGTTGTTGTTGTTGTTGTTTTTTTGGGGGGGGGGGGGATTTGGAAAATTCGGTGGATAGTGATTCTGTACAATTATGATATATTTGGATGCCCCTGTTGATGTATTATAATCACTAGAAATTTAATTCTTGCACCATGTACTACTAATAATAATACTTTTGTGATATGCCATATACAGTACATGTACACGTACATGTTGTTTTTCACTCAAAATGCGCATCCTGTAAAAATACATTTGGGATAGCATAAAATTAATTATCCACCGCATTATTTGATGATTTATGTCTTTCTCTCTCTCTTTCTCTTTCTCTCTCTCTCTCTCTCTCTCTCTCTCTCTCTCTCTCTCTTTCTCTCACTATCTCTCTCTTTCTCTCTCTCTCTTTCTTTCTCTCTGCAGTGTGTGTGTGTGTGTGTCCTCTCTCTAAGTGATTGCTGAAATCGGGGTATGGTTGTATAGTTGTAGCATGAAACGTATAGGGGACAGGTCGTTACGCTCGTAGGCCTCAAAGTGGGTCTAATACTGTAAAAACCTGCCTATAAAGAACTCCCTAGGGAAACAGGTTAACTGGCTAATTCAAGTTCTACAACACATGTTCTTCCAAGAGGGAGACAAAATAGGTGACCACTATACACAGGTTGTCTTTATCGATAGGTGGCCAATAAGACAGATTTGAATGCCTCCGCGTACATGCCATGTAAAAAAAGAGAAAAACTGAGACAATAACAAAAAACGGTATTGATGCTAACAAGGGTTTCTAGTTGGTTTCACTAATTAGAGAACCAGAAATGTTAAACAATTATTTTTGTGTGTAATGTTTTCCTAAGAAGGCAAAACCAACATAGGCCTAAGTATAATAATAGTAATTTCTTTAAGGACATTGCCCCTCGGATAGGTCTTAAAGTTGTAGGCCCTCTAATGTAAAAGCATAGTGTAATGTAATTGTTTTCTAAACATTCATGTTAAAATAGGGTCGTCATATGCAGAAATACCTTCTTTCACCGACGCCCCCCCCCCCCCTCCCCATGAGAAAGCTACAAGCACGTCCAGTCAAACCTGTCCATTAATAGGGCTACCTAAGGGAAATAACAGAAAGTGACCACTCCATACAAATGGACTATTTATTACTTCCTTACTTTTTATCGGTTTGTAGTCAAATTTTCACCGACCCTTTTCTCTAATTGTTCTGCTTCTATTCAAACCAACTCTGTGATGTATCTTGCGAGGTCCTCTCCCATTTGCTCTGTATTAAAATAAATTCATAACATTTTATTTTCCTTTTCGAAAATCTTCAATCACACACTGCTTGACACGTTCACATAAAGAGCTTTGTGTAATCATGGTTTAGGAAGTGCGTGCAGACTTTCAATACAAATAGGTCCCCCGTTGATGTTCAAATAATTGAAGAGTTGACAACAAAACAAAGAATGACTGAGACGCATTTTCCCCTTTTCTCTCTTATTTGTATGACGCGACGCATTTTGGAGTCAAAGGTAAAGGTACCAGTTTTGGAAATGCCCCCCTCTCAAAAAATGAAACGAAAGCTCTTATTACCAATCATGTGAAAGAATATGTTTTGACTAATACGTGAAGATACACATTTTCCCCGGAAACCGCCAACTAATTGATATATTTGGTAAATTATTATATCTATCCAGTCCGGATAGATATGATAATGTACCGCGTGGTCCCATATACATCTTTCTGTGTACAGTGCTTGTAATAAGTATAATAATAGTAATTTCTTTAACGACATTGCCCCTCGGATAGGTCTTTAAGTTGTAGGCCCTCTAATGTAAAAGCATAGTGTAATGTAATTGTTTTCTAAACATTCATGTTAAAATAGGGTCGTCATATGCAGAAATACCTTCTTTCACCGACGCCCCCCCCCCCCCTCCCATGAGAAAGCTACAAGCACGTCCAGTCAAACCTGTCCATTAATAGGGCGGGGTCTATTCGCTATTCATAAGGACCGCTATTCATAAGGTCCGCTATTCATAAGGACCGTTATTCATAACGTGTAAATTCCCGTACTTCCTGGTCCGCTATTCATAATGGCAAAAGAGGGTCGCTATTCATAAAGAAATAAGGTTTGTTAATCATAAGGACCGCTATTCATAACGTGAGATGAGGGTCGCTATTCATAATTCATATTAATTCATTAATCATAAGGACCGCTATTCATAATATGAAATCAGGGTCACTATTCATAATACGACGAGAGGGTCGCTATTCATAATACGAAATAAGGTTCATTACTTATAAGGGTCGCTATTCATAACACGGAAAGAGGGTCGCTATTCATAATACGAAAAGAGGGTCGCTATTCATAATAAGAAATGAGGGTCGCTATTCATAATAGGAGAAGAGGGTCGCTATTCATAATAGGAGAAGAGAGTCGCTATTCATAATACGAAATGAGGGTCGCTATTCATAATACGAAATGAGGGTCGCTATTCATAATAGGAGAAGAGGGTCGCCATTCATAATACGAAATGAGGGTCGCTATTCATAATAAGAAATGAGGGTCGCTATTCATAATAGGAGAAGAGGGTCGCTATTCATAATAGGAGAAGAGGGTCGCTATTCATAATACGAAATGAGGGCCGCTATTCATAATAAGAAATGAGGGTCGCTATTCATTATAGGAGGAGAGGGTCGCTATTCATAATAGGAGAAGAGGGTCGCTATTCATAATAGGAGTAAGGGGTCGCTATTCATAATACGAAATGAGGTTCGCTATTCATAATAGGAGAAGAGGGTCGCTATTCATAATAGGAGAAGAGGGTCGCTATTCATAATAGGAGAAGAGGGTCGCTATTCATAATACGAAATGAGGGTCGCTATTCATAATAAGAAATGAGGGTCGCTATTCATTATAGGAGGAGAGGGTCGCTATTCATAATAGGAGAAGAGGGTCGCTATTCATAATAGGAGTAAGGGGTCGCTATTCATAATACGAAATGAGGTTCGCTATTCATAATAGGAGAAGAGGGTCGCTATTCATAACAGGAGAAGAGGGTCGCTATTCATAATACGAAATGAAGGTCGATATTCATAAAAAGAAATGAGGTTCGCTATTCATAATAGAAGTATAGGATCGCTATTCTTAATAGTTGCCCCCCCCCCCCCCGTGGCTACGTTCCTGGTCCTGTAGGGGGGGGGGGGCGTCATATAACCCTGAATAGTTGTCTCTTTTTAAAGTAGTTATATTTTATCTGTTATCTTTGATAATTATATATAGAGCTCATGTGGTGAGGAAAAATAAAAGTAAAACATAACACACATGTAGTCCTATCGTAAATTGTCCTCCTTGTTGGAAATCTTGCCCCACCACCCTGCCCCCGACTGATCTTATCCAGGCTACGCCACTGAGATATTAAGTACGCCAAGCAGGCCCATTATCCATTTTAGCTTGCTATTTAAGAAACGAGTAATTGTTTATACGACAATAATTTTTTTGTAGAAAGTAATTTGTATTAGGACTTATGGACCTACAAACTATTGAGCGGGATTGGACCTGACCATAAGCCTAGTATCTACCTACCAAGCCCCCTCCCCCATCAGTACGCCCCGGCGCGGATCAAGAATTTTCCAATAGGGGGGGGGGGGCTGGTGACCGAAATGATGGGACACGTTCATTATTTAGGCATGCCTTTCTTTCTTCAGAAATGTGAGTTTTCAATAAATATTTTCTTCAAATGTTTTGGACCATGTGGCCTACCCCCCCCCCCCGGCCTATGCTGTAGCCATGGGGTGTCCTCTATCCAGTATGTCGTTTCTTATTAACATTTAGTTTATTGCTTATGTCATTTTGACTTTTTCGGTATTATGAATAGCGACCCTCACGTCGTATTATGAATAGAGACCTTTCCCATTATAAATAGCGACCCCCTACTCCTATTATGAA